GGAAATCTTTGACCACAGAATGTTGGGTAGGTTTTACGGCTTGTCGACGGCCTGCTTTGGCCTGTTGCACGGTTCCCACGCTAGCTGCCTGATCCTGGCTTTTGCTAGGGATTCTCCGGGGTTCTCCGTGTCTGACTGAAGAAAACGCCGTCCTCCGTCTGGCAATTCGGCTGTTTTCAGGTTTCCTTCGTTGCCGCTGGCGAGACCACGTGGCTTGGTCTGACCTTGGTGAAGTTGGCTCGACGAAAAAGCTTAAAAATGGAACTTGGTCGTTCCTGAATTAGTACAGTGTAACTTAACGGACTGATAACTTTAACAAAACAAAAGAAAGAAAGAAAATAAAATGAACCGAGGGGCAGATCGATGTCGTGGCACTTCGCGTGTGTAGCTTCAAGTGAACAAAAGGCCTGTTTTGCTGGCCGACTCTGAGGGCGTTGCCTGGCGAGGCACGCCGGACGTGTGCCGAAGCGTCCAGAGGGCAGAGCGAGCTGAGAGAGAGAGCAGAGAAGAGAAGAGAAGAGAAGTGAGTGAACAATGTCGCGTGTCGCTCTTTTGTTGCCTGGGGCGTGGTTCCCCAGAGGGCGTTTCAGGTTTCCCGAGGGACTGCCTTTCTAAACTTAATGTCTAAAAGAAAAGAAATCTATTTGCGCGTATTATAATCAAATATTTTCCACAATCGAACCTCAATGGTCAAACGGTTGTACCGTTCTAAGTTAAGCATTTGGTAACAGGAGACAATTTTCACATTATTGGTCAGGATATTTATACATTTAACGGCATTTCCAACGATGGTATGTAATACTTATTTTGTCCACTTGGGGGAGCTCCGGTTACATGAGGAAAGCTTAGATCATCTCTCCTTAGGAACCGGGGAATAGTTATTCATTCTTAAATTCAAGCTGGCGATTAAGAGTATAGTAAGACATTTCTATCATCATTTCTAAAGGAATTTTGTAAGAAAGTATTATGAACAAGCATTGATTACATTAGATGAGGGAGTGTCTTGCTGAAAATAAAAACACTGCAAACGTAACTTATTTAGATTCTTTTCAACACTAATATCAACAACAGATAGCAACAACATGTTAACATAACTACTCAAATAGAGGCAAACGTAATCAGGTAACTAAAGATTTAATTAAACTTAATTAAATGCTTTGAGTATTTGGAGACTGCAGTCTTTGGTCATCCAAAGTTCGGCTTCCTGGGTTATGTCACAACTTGGAGTATCCATTTGATGGGGTAATGAAACATAGAGCAAGGTCAGTTACCACGGTTACATGTGTGGGGGGGGGCAGTTTTGATAGGCTGTTCAGGGAAATGATAATCGCTGGTTTGTGTCCCTTTGTCAGTTTAACAGTCAGGCCCCGCGTTATCAGCTTTGGAATCAAAAAGGTGCCAGTTTTATGGTCAGGGATAGCACTTAGAGAAAGCAACTTTCACCCCATTTTCTGTTGGGGTCTCCCCAGCAGTCTGTTGAAGTTGATCTTTAACAACCCCTGCTCTTCTCTGGGGGAGGAGAGAGGAATTTGGAGTAGCTCCAAATTTATTCAATATAAAATGCACAAATCCACACCGTTGTTCACTACATTGGGCTTCCTCAGAAACAGACCGCTGTCAGTTCGGATTGGCGGACTCACCTCCTCCACTCTAGTGCTCAACACTGGAGCCCCCCAGGGCTCTGTGCTCAGCCCCCTCCTGTTCACGCTGTACACCCACGACTGCATCCCTCGACATGAAGAGAACTCTGTTGTGAAGTTTGCGGGCGACACCACCATCATCGTCCGGATTTCAAACAACATTAAGACTTCATTTCAGGAGGAAATTCATAATCTTGTAGAGTGGTGCACAAAGAACCTACTGCTCAACGTCAGCAAAACCAAGGAACTGATCATTGATTTTAGGAAGAAGGGGAAAAAAGACACACACTCCTGTCTACATCAGTGGTGCTGAGGTGGAGCAGGTGAATAGTTTCAAGTTCCTGGGAATCAGCATCACAGAGATCCTGACATGGTCATCCCCCATCTCCACGCTGGTGAAGAAAGCTCAGAAACGACCGTATTTCTTGAGCTTAAGAAGGCCAAATTCCTGTGCCAAGTTTTTGTCAGCTTTTACAGAGGAGCAATCCTGCATCCTGACTGGAAACATCACAAACTGGTTTGGGATGTGCACGGCCCAGGACTGAAGGGCTCTGCAGCGGGTGATTAAAACTGTTCAGAAGATCATTGGTACCCATCTACCGAGCATCAGTGATATTGGTGAGATGAGGTGCCTACGCAGAGCCCAAAGGATACTAAAGGACAGTACCCACCCAGCAACAGCCTGTTCACCCTGCTGCCACACCACCAGACAAGCAGAGCAGCTTTCCCCCCCAAGCTATCAGACTCTTAAACTCTAATTCTCAGCACTGCTCCAGTGATAATGGTTTATTTCTGTTTATCATTTTTCATAATTGATTCTTTATTAATGTATATTGTCTGCTATGTAGCAGAAGGGAGTTACAAAACTCAATTTCACTCTATAACTTGTTATATTGTGACAGTAAAACTACCTACCTACTTATCTGTTGTGTGTGTGTGTGTGTGTGTGTGTGTGTGTGTGTGTGTCTTTGACATTCCAACAGTAGCCTGCCTTTAATACAACAACCACTAGCCCTATTAAATATCCCCTGATCTGTAGCCATGGCATTTACTTTTCCTTCTCCATCCTTCCCTTCATCCCTGCTGCCAAACAACGCTCATAGGGACGACTGGCCTTTCATCAGGGGAGAGTGTATGTGGTATTGTGTGTATCTGTGTGTCTCTTCTCGCCATAATCATTTGAAAAATGCACACGCAAATATTGCAAACAGGCTTCAAAGACAGGATTATCGTTGAGAGCCTAGAGAGGGAGTTAATGTCACTCTGTACACCCACGACAGCAGTGGCTGCTCTGTGTGTTTGTGTGTGAATGCATGTGTGTTGTGTACAGATATTGAACTTGTACATACGCCCACAGTTAACTGCGTATGTAGCATATGTGCATCTCAAACATTTGAGTGTTTTTGATGTGATAGAAGTAGGATTAAAGTGTGTAACTGTGTATACAACGATCTGCAAATGTCTTTTATGTGCAGCCTACTCTCTTGTGTGTCTGCATGCTTTTATTTTACATCATGAAGTCACTGATGAAGTCAGTGATTTCACTTGCCATCATCCTTGTTTGTAAATTTGCCCCTTGGCGTTAAGCACAAAAACCCCCACTACACAGCATGCTGCCAAGTTCTGCCACAGAGACTTTGAACTACTTAATCATTTTGAAATTGAGAACAAAGGATAAAACTTTTGCCCATTTTTCATTCATAGTTTCTTTTTCGTTGTTTGATTTGGTGCCCCTAATACCTCTAAATCTTAAAATCAGTCCCCAGTCTGGTAGAGTTGTTACTGCACTGCAAAAAGTACCCATCTTAAGAAATTATTTAGATTAGAAAGTACTAATGCTAACATTTTAAAGATGTTCCTTGAATAATTTATTTTCTTGATGAAACATGAATTGATATGTCTTTTTTTAAAGATCCTGAACTGAACTTGAAGATTTCTGACTCAGATCAGAAACATGCACATTTATCTAAAACCACAGGCATTTGTTGCCACTTGTTTTGAGAAAACACAGATTGGAAGATTGAGTATGAGCCAAACAACTTAACCGTTTTTGCAGGGTTCAGTGGCTGCCACTGAGCTGCTGCCAAGGTCCTCATTTACCACTGTTTATCACCAGCCCGCTAACATCATGTCCTGTGGGACGATAAATGGCTGGACTCCAAAGAAATCCAGCACATGAATCACCTTGTTAATGACAGAACAACACAGATAGCGCATGGTCACATGTGAAGTCGCACGCTGCGTGAGTTCGCCCTTCATCACGTGTGCTGCTGCCTTCTCTGACAGGTGTAAATTGTGTCTGCAGTTATCTTGGCGCTGTTTGTGTTGTTGTAGAAATCACCGTGGACACTTGACTTTGCATTACACTGGGCCTTGTTAAGGCTGCCATGACTGCTTTCTGATGTGCTAAGAGCCGTGTTGGCTGTTTCACAGTGCTCTTGGTAAAGTGCTGTTGATCACACCAGCTAAACTTGACAGGCCAATTCCTCAGGGAAGGAAGGAGAGAGTAAGAGGGTCGGGAAAGGAAAAGAGAGAGTGAGAGCGACAGAAAAATATAGAAAGGTATGGAAAGAGAGAGAGAGAGGAGAAACCCAGACAGTATGATGTATGCAGACTATAGCAAGTACTACACATTTACTGGACAGGTACTTGTAAACAGAAATCTGAATGTTTTCAGTGGTAAGTGGTATGTAACTAAGTGTATTTACTCTTACTTAAGTTTACTTGAGTATTTCCATTTTTATGTAGTTACTAGCAACTTTCCTGAGTCAGATTATTAAAACAATATATAATCAACTAATAAATCATAATGTATTATTATTGAATTATGCTACGTGGCTAAAGTAATTAGCTCCACCTTTCCCAGCTGCAACCTTTATGATGTTTACACACTTAAAATGCAGTGATATAATTAGTATATATATATATTAGTATAATAAGTATTATTCTGAAATGGGCCGATCTGCATTATTACTTTTACTTTTGGGACTTTAAGTATATGGTAATGCTAATAGTTGTGTACTATTGCTTAAGTAAAGTTTTGAATGCAGGAAGTTTACTCGGTCTAGAGTATTTCTACACTGTGGTATTGCTACTTTTACTTAAGTATAAAATCTACTTCTTCCAGCAGTGTGCATTTCTGTGAGCATAAAAAGAACACACACACACACACACACACACACACACAGACACACAGGTGCACATTTACAATACAGCCAGGCTTGCACACTAACAAACACATTGTACAACCATAAGCAATCACACACAAATAATTGCATCTGTGATGTATAAACCTTACACAGTCAGACCTGCCTGAAATCTTTGCACACATGCACACACAGTAATGTGATGATGGCCCACCTTGCCAGCCAGGTTTGCAGACAGGCTTGACATCAATGCGGACAGGTACGCTGTGCAAGGCTCTCTTCTGGCCGCAGTCCCAGGCCGTCACCTGGATCTCGTACTGCTGCTGGCGGTCGTAGCTCAGCTTCTCTGTGTTCCGGATGTTACCTTGTGCGGAGAAAAGAGTCACTCACGGTCAAAGTCAACCCACATAGCCTTTTTAAGCAAAGTCATTATAATGTGTGGAGGAAATGTGGATCTCATAATGAAAAGATATTGCACATTTACTGCCACAAATCACATTTGTAGTTTTAAGATATCAAGAGCTAAGAGAGAGAAGAGATGGTTTATAAAGTTTAGAAAATGTCACCCATAATGTACATTTGGTGAATGGGTGACAGGATTGGGAAGTAAAATCTCCTTTCCTTTGTCTGGAAATAGGCTGTTCAGAACTTAATTCACAAAAGCTGATGTACAGTGGAATGAAGTGAAGTGAAGTGAGGTGGTTCAGGAAAGTACAATGTTTTTGTGAAACATTTGACCACAAACCCCGATCTGTGACTGAGAAATAGACTGGCTTCCCTCAGTCATCAGAGATTTGGAGCCTTATGGAGTCATAAAATGGCTGTGTGAGCTTTTACAGCTAAACCAGCTTTATTTTGGCGTAGTCACAAGGTGCAACATATACGTTTCCATTCATCGCTACACTCAACTTTCAAATGTATTCTTAATGGAGCTGCTCTTCAGTCTGTTGACTTCTGTTTACTGACTTTTATGACTTTATATTATAGTGTAAACTATGGAAAGTGCGAGAGTTAAGGATAAACTTTAAGCTGCCTTGAGGAAAATGAGTAGCAGCAGTTCCACTCAAGTGTGCATCAACTGAATCGTGTGTCTTCAGAGTGAGTTAATAGATAACACAGAAGCCTTGTGCATGCTGCTTATCTGCCTATACACTGTGTGTGTGTGTGTGTGTGTGTGTGTGTGTGTGTGTGTGTGTCTCTGTTTGCTTAAAGGAGTAATGGGTATTTAATTTTAATTTTAAAGCATCGTTATATTTCATTGTCAAATTAACGCTGATGCCTTAATATAATCACTGTAACAAATGAGATCATGGTTGGGATGACAGGTAGCCTTTATCTCTCACATGTGCTTTGATTAGTGCTAATGTTTTTCAAAATTAAGACCACGTTTCCATTAAACCCCTGTTGCTTCCTGATGCAGTGAAGATACTGGTACTTGACTTCCCCTCACCTCACTGCCTGGCGTGCCAAATACTGTATGTTTAAAGGGATTGTGCCCTACCATTAGCCCTTTAATTGTTCCACAAGCTCTAAGTCCTACACCTTGTTTATGAACTTCTTAAACGAGTCAAAAGGAGGTCTTCACTAAATGCAATGGCTGATGATTATAGTAGTATCAAATAGAGCGAATTAAAAATGGTCAGAAATGGGTGTTCATCACTTACTCCACAGTAATAGATGAATAGGAATCAAGACGGGTGTATCTAATAGCACTGAAGGTACCTCCACCAATAAATGGGGGTTGCTACTCAGCCTGTGGAAATAGTTGTATAATGTCCTCTGCAGCTTTGGAGGGATCTTTCTAAAGTCTGAGAAAATAACCATGATGACGTCACTTGGGAAATAAAAGGAAAGAAACTTTGGCCTCTGCTGCATCGATGCTGACCACTCTTTTTTAAAGTTATCTCTCTTGCAGGTCCCTTGACTTAATGGAAGTACAATACTGCTAATAACAATACTGCTACTAACCAGACCTCTATTAGGGCTTACACCCTCTATTAGCATTACAGACCCGAATCTCTGACTTAACTGTCTGCAGTTGAGTTGCATTGTGGGTAATGTAGGTGCCAGGTTTTGACAAGAAGAACAATGCATGGAATAAAAAACAATGATATCTCTGGTTCTGCTGCATTTTGGAGCCTTAAGAAAACCGGTAGTTCAAACATGAGCTTTAAATATTTCCAACACGTCCTCATACCTAAATGTCAAAATAGGTCGATTGTCACTTTTCCCAAAACGACATAAGATCGTTCCCCAAAACGACTTATTCCCTCAGTATCGTCATGCAGCCACTAGAGGTCGCAGCCTAACAGTAATGGTAAATATGGGTCATAATAAGTCTTGGTCACTCAGGTCTTCTGACCAGGGCTTGCTGGTCGTTCCTCGCACTTGATGAAAAATAATAGATGACCCTTGTAGTGGTGATCCATATTTGTATAGCGCCTTTTCGACCACTCAAAGCACTTTTACACTACATCTGCATTCACCATTCATACACTGAGCCTAAGTGCTCAAACAGAAACTAACATTCACACACATTGACACTGGCGGAACAGCCGCCCGGGGCAATTCGGGGTACAGTATCTTGCCCAAGGACACTTCAATATGCAGCCTGGAGGAGCCGGGGATTGAACCTTCTGGTTAACGGGCAACCCGCTCTACTTCCTGAGCCACAGCCGCCCCAAAATGGTGGCTCCCACACTTTGGAAAATTCTTCCTTTAGACATATGTTCTGCAATCTCTGTTGGTGGTGTTGGCTAATTACCAGAGTTTCAGGAGCGAGACCACACATCAACCACTTCATCGCCAGCATTTCCATAAATACCCACATGTCGCAGCTCCTCTTCTTAGCTCTCACATTCTGCACCCCTCCCCCTTCCATAAGCTGTATTTCTGGGGAGGACAGTCTTTCTGTTTCCCATGAAATACATCCAATTTTATTTATTTATATATATATATATTTTTATTTATTTTTTTTTTTTTCTGGGTACCTAAAAGAAATCCTGCCTTGTCTTACAAGCCCTTAAATTCGAACACTGGCCTGAATGTCTGGTTTCTCTCTGATTATTCTGCTGGTTACAGCCTTCTTCTATTTTCAGGTTTGGGTCAAGGTAGAAATAATGACAAATTGCTGCCAAAGTCAACATGCAACTTTTTCAATCATATGCATGACAAGTCCAGTTCATGTGGACTCATATTTGTGCTTTAAAATCAGTCCATCAGATTGTCCATCAAATTCAGCCTCTGCCATATATTTATACTAATATATCAGAATTATGTGGCAATGATTTTGCTCTGTGGCACTCAGCATCTTAAAAGAGACAAATAACCTGCTCGTTTCTACAGTACAATCAGTATCCAGACCACATGCACTGACTGAGAGCCTCCTGCCTTTTTGGTAACCGCGACCCATTTACCAAGCCAGCGTCTTTTCTCATGCTGAGCAGAGTGCATGAAGAGAGTTCTTCTGCTCCTAATGTGTCAGTTAATATTTGATGAGTCTTCTACTACAGAAGGATGTCAATGCTATACACGCAGCCAGGCCTGGGGGGTGTACATATCATTAAAAAGAGACACTATTGGCTCTTATTGGCTGCGTGTTGAAACATAGCAGAAATGACTTATTGCAACTTATATTACAACCCAAATGCTTATTAAAGTTTATGCATTGTAGGGAGAGAGGTGCAGAGGGAGCTGAATGTTGATAATATGTTATATTTGAATGCAAGTGTGTGAGTGGGAGGATTAGATGTAATTCATGAGGAAGGTTTTGTTCGCCTTCCCGTCCTCCTCATCGCCCATCTCCCTCTAACCTTGTTGAGAATGACTTCCCTCCCCATTCTTCCCTTTACAACCTTCCCATTTACTTTAAATGCACATCATTGTCTCACTGTTTTGCAGCCTCATCCCATTTCAGTGTTTGCTGCCTCATCTGTTGTACTGCTCTCTACCTTTTTTCACAAGTATGTATGCACACTGAGACACTCACACCTTTCCGCATGATGGAGGTTCCTATTCCCGCTCCTTCAATTACTACATCAACTTATCTGTGTCAGCAGGCTGTGCGTGCTGTGACTGCTGGCAAGGGTGGCCAGCTAGTAAATGACTACTTTACCCTCCATCTTGCTGTCTCTATTTGCCTCTCTATCATATGGGTGTAAACACACATACACACACACACACACACACACACATAATCACAAGCTAACCATGTTTGCATCTGTCTTCACGAATTCCCTCTATCATCCCTTTGTAATTACTATCCAATTTTACCAACTAATGCTGCTTAGCCCTCCTGGTCTTCTCTAAAGGTCAAGGCCTGCATGAAACTGTATTACTCTTATTTTAAATAAAAGACGAATACCAACACTGTCTGTGTCTTAATACTTTCCCTTACACCATGAGTGCATTGTTTCTGCTGAGGTCACAAATACATAGTTTAATTTATTTTAAAAGCACTTCCCAAAAGCTGTTGGGCATTGCAGTTTTAGCAAATGTTGTTCAAACAGGAGGAAATGGCAGTGGTGTGTAATTTTATTGTTTTATAATAGCCAGGTAAGCAGCTCTGTGGACGGCAATGTTGGTCAGTGAATATCTCAACAACTATTGTCAGTTTATCATGAAATGGAACATAGACAGTCTAAATTGGTCCCTCTGATCACCAGAGGATGAATCCTAATGACTTTAATGATCTCCTGACATTTCATCTAGTGTCATCATTAGGTCAAACATTTTATTTGTCCAATACTTTTAGTTTGTGACCAAATACCAGCAAAAGATATGACATTCCCAACAGCCACAGCTGTTCTTTGTGTTTAGTCATAATTAGCTCATGGTAACATGCTAAAATGGTGAACATGGTAAATATACCTGCTTAACATCAGTATGTTGGCATGGTAACATAAGCGTTCAGCTCAAAGCCCTGTTATGCCTAAGTATAGCCTCACAGAGTCGCAAGCATGGCTGTAGAGTCGATTTTTATAGGTGACTCTCTTTTCTTGGTGTATTCAGTCATGGTGGCCATCACTACCCACTTGTTCTCATTATCAACATATTGAAAAAAACAACAATATAATTGTCCGTCTATCAGTATTTCTCAGTTCCCTACCCTGTATATGGCTGAACCCCAGGCCCACTGGTTCCTGTAAATCTTTACAAATGGGTCGCAAATATACAGTATAATTTAATGGTCAAAAGTATCATTTAAAAGCTCAGTAATTTCGGGCGCTGTAGTTTAGAAAATGTTACTCACATTAGAGTAAATAGTGCAACTGTTAGGGACTATTTTCAGCAGCAATAATAATAATAATAATACACATGTGGTGTTCTACGAGTATTTGGGGCAGCAGGACGGTGCATGTGGGACTGAGTCTGACTGAAAATAAACATTCAAAGTAATGAAGGAACATGTGACCCATTGCAACAGTGTGGCTCACTGATGTGTTTTAAATAGTTTTTGGACAACAAAGGAGCTCTGTGGCACAGATGAGGAACATCTATCAGGATTTGACAAAACAGGAAACACTTGTAAGAAGTTGGTTTTGGTCTTTTCATGGGAATTGTTGAAAATGGGAAATCTCCAGTACATTTTTCTGTCTACTTCTCTCCCTAAACCTGTCATAGCACTTACTCTCACTCTCACAGCCAACCCTTCCTTTCCTCTGTCCCTCAGGTGCTCTTGAGTTCAAGGGCTCTCAAAGCCTTTTCCTCAGCGGTCAATGGCTGAGCGAGACCCCTTCAAATGGAGAGAGAGAAGAGAGAGTCTGGCTGCAGCCTCCCCCTGTATCATTCACAGTGCAGTTTGGCCCTAACCTTATCCACTCAGCCTTTTTACTGCAACACCTCAGCAGTGAGCAATGTTTGGCAATCAGCAGCAACAAAAACCTAAACAATAATTTCCCTTGCATCTACAGTATGTCTCCTAAAAAAGTGCCAAAGTGCAGAGTTTTTAGAAGAGCCACTAGAGCCAGTTGTATTTAAATAGCTTCTGTAATTGTGGTAATAATCTGTTGAAGTCTATATTCAAGGAGTACATTGTATCCTACTTGACTTTGTGTAGGTCTTTTTATGAATGTAATACTAAGGGCAAAGCTCAGTCCTCCATCAAACTAGGATTGTCAGAATGGACTGTAGAGGACATGAAAGTGGAGACAATAACAAATCTCTCAACAGATTTGTGTGGGTATTCCTCTTACACACACACACACACACATAATTTCTGGATCTGTGTTAATGAGTAATAATAAAGTATAATCTTTATTTGTAACGTTCAAGAGCCGAGTTACAAAGTGCAAGTGGTAACTCACTAAAGTCAAGTAAATGTGTAAAGGTATGTGAGAGTGTACATAGATTTTTTCTTAGTATTTATCTTTGCCAGTGTGTGTCTTTCATGTTTGTGTGTGGACACACTCTTCCATGATTTGATTTGTTCAGACTGATGGCTCTGTGGGCAAAGCTTGACTTTGTCCTTGGAAAGAGCAAAGAACACATTTTATCCTGGGGAGAGACATCTGTCAGAGTATTAAGTTTTGCAACCAGACTGCATGCAGGTATTTGTAGTATGAGTGTATGTCCTGTGGCTGTAAAGTCAATCTGTGTGCATGGATGGGATTTAGATCACGAGTACCACTGTGTTATGACAGAAATTTGTTTTTACATTTTCTTTAAATAAGATGGTGAGCAAAGGGGGGGAGAAAAAAAAACTTGATTTGGAAGATGTTCCTGGACATTAGAAATTACTGAAGTAAGTACAGCAGACTTGCGGTTGATGTGGCACGCTGAGGGAAAGTGGGTACAACAAAAAAGTGACAACACCACAATATAAAACTTGAATGGCACTAAACATGATACACTGTAGGTGAGATAACAAGGTTTCTTTGTGGCATGTACTAACCTCTTCCATGTTAATATCAAACCCAGCACAAGGTGGATGCTTTTAACAAATCTTTTCCTATCTTCTACTCACCGTTGCGATCTATAGCGAAGGGTGTGTTGGTGGTGGTGATCTGGTAGTTACAGATCTGGCTGTACTGTGGGGAGCAGTCCTGATCAGTGGCCTCCACCTGCAGGATGCTGTCGTAAATCTTGCCCTCTGTCACTGCGGCCTGGTACTGGGGCTCCCGAAATACTGGGGCAAACTCATTCACATCGTTGACCTGAATGTGCACCACCGCCCTGCAGACAATAGGGGCAACAGAGGGGAGGAAAGTGAAGATCAGTGTAGGACAGTCTATCTGCACAGAGTGTAACTGCTTAAGACAGGTCGCTGCAACACCCATTTCAACTGTTGTACAAGATGAATATATTTTCAGCCATGTCTGTCTGACAGTCAGTCCGTAAACCGTTTGCTCCAGACTGCATTATCTCAACTATTAGATGGATTGGCGCAACATTTTTTACAGACATTCATGTGCCCCAGTGGATGAATCCTAATAACATTTGTGATACTCTTCTACTTTTACTATAGTGCTACAGTGAGTGGTGAAATCAGTTATCTACTACTATTACTACAGCAGTAGTTGTCAGCCTCTCAGATGACTGTTTGGATAGTTGAGGGCAGAGTTCACTGCTGGTGATGAATTACCGTAGTTTGGTAACCAATAATCACACGGTGCTTTGTGTAATACATTGTCCGACCTGACCCACTGGATTGCTTTATGTTGCTATGGCAAAATAATCTCCTGGATTTCATTACCAACCATAGCCATGTAAAGTAGGCACAGTTCTCCAAGCGCACTATGTTGCACCAATTCATCATTCAATAAGTGAACTATCAGCAGTAGGTGTTATGTTAAGTCACACATAAGTAAATGTTAAGTTACACATGATAGGCCATTCATTACTTCAAAACGTCTTCATCAATTCTCTCTGGCCAGAAGGCAACAGATTCCATAATCAATTCTTCGATTTACTGACTATAAGCAGTGATGGATGATGACGGGACAGAATAATACAGTTTTAAGCTTCAAATGGCAAATACAAAGCAATGCCTTGCTTTAAGACACTAAGGGGCAGAGATGAGTATGGGGTTTATGGGATTAGCTGGTATGGTAATGACAGTGAAATTATCCTATTAAAAAGGCTGTAAATATCTCTCCAACATGTGGTCGGCTGGAGATGGAGACTGGACAACAAAGAGGGAGACAGTGCGGAGGCTGAGCCCAGGCAGAATGGATTTTCACACTGCCTTATCTCTCCCTGTCACAAGAGCACAAACATTGGAGACCATTTGTTTTTAAGCTTTTCCACACAAACAGATGCATAGTCACATAGTTTAATACAAAATAAGACACACACAAACAACAGAAGTAAAAATACAAAAGGGACAAAGATATAGGGGACAGGCAGCGGTGGTAGTAACTAAGTGCATTTACTTAGTGATGTCAGCTACATTTTGGACTTTAGCATTTTCATTTCATACCACTTAAACTATGACTGCACTATTTAATCCACTACCTTTCTCTGACAACTATATTACTGTTTACTTTAAAGAGTAAGCTTTTACATACTTAAACATATGATAAGCCTCTAAAATATGATGTATTGTTATATGTAGATGAGACTACCCAACTGGACACTAGCTCCTGTATGGACTCAAAACCTAAGTGTCAGTATGCTCTAATCCTCCAAATGCCCAAGTTTATAAAGAGGTGGAGTCCTGACATTTACATTTATTCACTTACAATTGCTATGTATGTCAGAGGTCAAACGCCTCTGGAGCAACTAGGGGTTAAGTGCCTTTCTCAGGGACACATTGGTGGAGGTGTCACAGAGGGGAATTGAACCTGGGTCTCTCCCACCAAAGGCATGTGTCTTATCCACTGAGCCCTTACCACCCGATGTCAGACTTACTCCACACTGTATTCCTAAATGTGCATGCATTTTCAGTTCTCCTCCTTTAAGACACATATATACAAGTTGATCTCACCTTACATGCATTTAATGCAATTCTTTTTAGATTGCTTTTTCTTAAGTATTCATAATATATAGTAAATTATTTATGATGGCATCTTTATGGAGCCCTGGACCCAAGATAATGTAGTCTTGTAGGTTATCAGAAGTAAAATAAAAAAAAAACAGAAAAAAAGTAGAAAATTCTTTCCCCTTGACCGACAATCAATTGATAAAATAAATTAAAACAGACTATAATAATTAAAACGTATCTATTTTACTCTTTTGACCTTTCTCCAGCTCATTTTATTTTAGATGTCCCTCATTTTCCTCTTTTTTTTCTTGGCACACATTTAATAATAGTCCCTGTTTTCACTATGAAACATTTGCCATTTACCTCAGCACATTTCCAACTGTCCTTCAGCAGATGGGCATGTCCAGCGATTGGACCTGTGAGCTGTGTGTGTTGTTTGCTGGCTAGTTTAACTGAAAAAGCAGGTGGCTAAACACATTGAGCTAATTTCATCATAAAACTACACAATCCAGGCACGCAATGTTAATCATCCATACTGTACTTCATACTGCTACAGCATCACTCTATAAACTATAACAATAGCTAATGCATTTTATCTGGCATGTTAACATTAACACAACATAACAAAAGTCTATTTGTGCTCTTTTACACAAAGTGCTCTTGGGCAGAATTGGGACTTCAAACTTACGACTTAATATAAGACCTAAGACAAAATATGTAACAATCAAATTTAAAGTTAGGAAAACTCCAGTATTATTCATAAAAAAAACTAACCTGCTATATCAGGAGGACTGTGTGGGTCTGCCTTAGTCAGATTTACAGTGGCCTGGCAACATAAATCTCACAGCTGACTCTGACTCGCAGTGTCAGGAACAATTCCTGTGCAATAACCCATTAACTTTGTCTATAATCAGACACCGGTTTACTGGTTACCATTTATTATTTATTTACCATTCTCTATTTCATTGCTGTTCATACTGTTATATGTGTCTGATTTTATTTTATTATTGTGTTATTGTAAGCACATCGTGAGCAATGTACAATCCTGAGTCAAATTCCTCGTATGTGTACACATACCTGGCAATAAAACTGATTCTGATTCTGACATCTCTTCTGTTATAGTCAGTGCTTGCTCTTCCATTCCCTGTGTTTGTGCTGTTTGTCTCCCTCGCCCTCATATTTCTGTTTTCTGTGTGTACGTGTATATACCTGGGCGTGGGCGCTCTGGGTCCTTCTTTGGTTGTCCAATCTCCTACACACCTGTGATGTACATCTGCACTTGAGACTCATCCCAGCAATCAAGCTCTAACTCTAGTTCATTTAAACCCTGTTCCTTCATTCCAGTCTTTGCCAGATTGTCCATTCTCCCATGTGGTATTCTTCTGAGTGTTGTGTGTCTGTGGAAGCTCGCTGCCTGCCAGTGCCTGTCTCCATGCCTTACCCATGTGTTCCCCTGCCTGCCCAGCTCTCGCCAAGCCTGCATCTCTAAGGCCTCCAAGCAAGACCTCACTACTGCGCATTTCTTGGAATTGTAATAAACTGAATTGTGTTTAAAAACACCAACTAAAAAAAACAAAAAAACAATGTGGCAACATTATTCATAGTTAGAAAAAAGTTTTTCAGGGACTTTAAAGAGTCTAAAACACAGGTACAGAATACACAAATGAACATGTATATGACAGTGATTAATCACTGGGCTTTAGGTTGGGTGGGATGTTAACGGCAATGCTAACAGCAGTGAAGATGGTGATAAGAAGCACTGACAGATGATGGCAGCACCAGTGTGTGCAGTAAATCCCTCAGCCAGCCTTGTTTTGTCATATTAATGACACTCTCATAAACATTACCCCCCTGCTTTGCCACACTCCCCAGCGATGAGGGAGCCAACATATGTTCCACTCCTCTGGGGCTTGTATGGAGAGGCGGCTGCAGTGTGTGTGTGTGTGTGTGTGTGTGTGTGTGTGTGTGTGTGTGTGTGATTGTGTATTTATGCACAAAAATGCATAATATATAAATGCGATAATTGTAAATATGTCTCATTGTGAGTGTGCATGTGAGTGTGTGTTTCTCCGCTGATGGCGCACATCTGGCTGAAACAGACGCCTAGTTCTCTAGGGCTAGGATGTTTGCGTGTCTGTATGTGTGTATTTGTGTGTGTTTTCATGTTGTTGGAACATTGCCAAGCTGAGCCCATGGCCGCCATTCCTCCCTATGACAGGCCTCAGCTCATAAGCAGGAGGGCCACAATGAGTCAGAGTGACACAGAAAGACAGTGGGGGGTTGAGTGACCCCATGGGCGCGAAAATGATCATAACACCACTAAACAAAGTGGATAACAACCAGAGCCACGGGGATGGCTTCTTTAAAAAAAAGTCAAAGGTTAAACAAACAACATCACCCCAGTGAATGAGCAAATCAAATCAAATCAATGACCTGATTTTCACTCTGCAGTGATTACAGACTAAAGTGTGTGATCACATTGTAGTGAAATTGTAGTGTAAAACAGTACCAACACCAGGTTTAAATGCAACCAAAATGCAAACTGACTCTCCAGAGGACAAGCATACAGAATCTACTTTAGTATACTGGTCTAAAGACTGACCAACACTATCTCCATCCAACATCAGTGTGCTACATTTTGCTTTACATTCACCAGATCCACTGCTCCACTTAATCAAATTATTCCATATAATGTAAACAGTTCACAGTTCTGTGCAGCTTTTAGTCCTCATATTAACTTCTGCTGAACTTTAAAATAGATATTTACAGAAAGACGTAGTAGAAGTAGTCAGGACCAATGTGGGGTACAGTGTGTTTTCCAAGGACACTTCGACAGGAGGAGGTGTGGATCACACCACCCACCTTGTGATCCAATGTCCAACCTGGGCCCTGCAAGTTCAACAACAGGATTTACTTTCAGAATCTGGTTTCACTAAAGCTGACAATCGCGATCGGGATAAGCGGTCACACAAAGCTGCTTTTCAAATCAGTAAGTCAACCCAGGGATTCCCGATCCATCCATGAGACATGGATAAGTCTACAGGTATGTTTTACAAACAAAAAGCAAACTATAATATTAGCTGACACATGCAGTGCATGTGTTATTATGGCGTGTATGACAATTTTTGCCTTATTCTTTCAGCTTGGCCACGTGTCAGCGATTCCACATTAAAAGCCTAAATAAGTGGTTGTTCTAACTCATTTTCAAGAACTTTACATCACTTAAAAATCTGATTAATTTATTAATTCT